AATTGATTGATCCGATTTAGGCAATGGGTGGATGGGCGTAGTTTAATATCGTTGGCACAGAATCACACCTCAGCTTACGAGCCTTCTGTCCGCTTAGAGCTCAGCTTGTAGCTCCCTTCTGCAAGATGATTGCTCCATAAGCGGGATCTCGATCTTGCCTGACGAAAATAAAACCTGGAGAAGGGGAGCAAGAGGGACAAAGGACAAACATTTTCGTCATTCTTGTCCAGCTCGCTTGCACATTTGCATTTAATTGCATTATAATCTCGATCTTGACGGGAACCCAGTCCCTACGCACGGCAACGATCCATTTTGCTCATCACTGCACGTCTCGCGGAAAAATGTGGAACGTCATGTCTTGCGCCGCATGTGCTGCCCGGTGGTTGTGGCACCCAACCGCGCAACAAAAATCTCACCCAACCCCGAAACAAGTCGATCACAACAACAAAAACGAAGCACACTGAGGCGTTCACTCCCAGGTAAACGACGAGACAGAAATGCTCGCTTTGTGTTGTGTGACATCAGAGCTCCCAAGTTGCCACCGAAAACAGCGTTTACGCTAGAGTGCGATGCGTCTTGAGGCAATAACAATGATATTCAATTGTTTTCTCCAATACAAGATTTGATCGGACAATACCTTTGACGCACTTTTTGTTCGGTTCTAACTCATCGATGCCCAGAGCTCCCACCCGTGCGTTGCCGCTGTAGCCGTGGTGACTGGTGGTGACGCAAATGAATGTGAATTTGCGTCACCAATTTGCGTCAAAAAAGGATGTGAATTTTAAAAGGGCCGTCTGATAACTTCCGCCACGGGTTAAAACAGCCAATCAGAACTGGATTCGGCGGAAATTGATTTCCGGTAAGCGGACTGAATGGAATTCAGTACTCTGGAAACATTAAAAAAAAAAGCAAATTGGGTTATGGGGATATTTATACAGCGTGTAGTTGGTCAGCCATTAAAGTTGCGACGAGTCACACGCTGTAGATGAGCAATTTAGCCAGTGCAGTATGACTGCTAACTATAGGGCCTTGAACGTGTTCACGCAGTAGTGATACACGACCGCACGCCGGTACGATGCTCATCCAGATCGAAACGGGCAGAGGTGGGGCTCGAGCCCAGGATCCCTGGGTTCTGCCGCGCGAGCTTACGCTCCACGCGCGTCGAGCTGGGTGTGCGCTTTAGCACCTGGAAACATTCAGTCAGTCTAGGTTCTGCTTGTCGAAGAATTGATTATTACGAGCCAAAATGGAGCACTCACGCAAAGCTCGGGTTCAATCTATGAGCCGCATTTCAACACCGTCACTCGGCGGACTATGCCAACGACCTCTAAGCTATGTCGTCGTCAAGTATTGGGAAGGAGACAATAAACATAAACGCTCACTTTCATCCTTGAAATTACAACGCATCAAATGTGTTTCTTGGTCAGTGGTGTTGTCTGCGAGTATACTTTATTTAATTTTATTTATTTATTGAAATGCCTTAAAGGTCCTTTCAAAAAGGCCGGTACATAAAAAGAGGGGGAGAGGGGGGGTCGAACAACATTTCAAGGATAAAAAACAAGAAACAAACTAAAAGCAACAGTAAAATTGCCAGAGGGAAAAGGAACACAAAACAGTCTATGCACAACCAAAAAAAATGAAAATAAAAAAAACTCAAATTAATCAATAATAATTATTATCACACAGAGCCCCCCCCCAATCATAAACAAGAATTAAACAATCGAACACTAATCATATACCTAGATGATCCCAATAGTGCCAGTAAAGCCGGGCTCATACTGCTTATAAGGAGTATTCACTGGGCGCCATATTTGTCGGTGCTGTTCAGAGCGCATGCTCAGAACGAGCCCACATTAATAGGCTGCTAAGACCGGCAATCTTGAGGGTGCGGAATGCACGCTACAAAAGAATTGTGGAAGCTCGCCATCAGCACGCGCTCAGCAGTCGCGCACACAGCTATGGCCGCCAGTGAATACTTCCTATTAGCGATGTGCGCAGCCACAAGTGTCGCTGTGATCAGCTTTGCATGATTGAACAAACATTGGGCATATGAGCACTGTCAGATTTTCAATTTTGACGGTGTTAGTTTCGGATTGCGATAGCTCCTAGCTTCTACTGTGCTTTTTAAACACACCACCGAACTCGTCGTCGCACCTGATAGTAAGTAGCCAGAATAACAACTGCTGACGTCACGGCGAGGCAAACCCCAGTCGTGATGTCACGGAGGGAAACCATAAGAGGGCGCCGCCGAAACATCTCGTTGCCTATAGGTGATTGCAAGCAGGGCGATCTGCTGTTGCCATGCTTCTACTCGTGCGGGCCTGCCCGTGTTATTGCAAGCTTGTCAAAGCTACGTTCACGCGCACGCTGCACGCGCCTGCAAGCATGGGGCACCACTCGCGCCAGACCTTTTTCACAAGGGCGCAGCCATCTTGAATGTCGTCACTTCTGGTATACGGTAAAACATCGTTTTCATTTCTCCACGCCGCTGGAAGGTGTTCACGAAAAATGCGTGAATCTCACACATTCTTCTTTTGACCCACCATAACCTCATTTATACTCGCAAAGCCTGGCAGTTCGACGACGGAGCCATAGAGTGCCCGGTCGCAGATTTGGAGAGCGAGGATCTGGTAGCACTAGTGCCACTAAATAAGCTACGCTTCAGAGTAACGACACTTGGCCATATTGTGGCTTAAAATCACGGTTGCCAGTTATCTGAAGCTTTATCTGAAATCACAGGAAATGCTTTTCTGCCCTCCACAAATGTTTAAACCGTTCGCGACAGAGCAAAGCAATATTACATGACCTTCCTAACACCGAATCTAATGCTGAGGAAGTCGCACTTTTGAATCATGACGATCGGCCGTTGCGTCTGTTCTGCATACGAGCCAAAATGGCGGCGCCCACAACAATGTCGGGGAACGGAGTGCCGATACTTTAAGCGCAGCTTATTTAGTGGCTCTAGGTAGCACAGAGCATTTCTCGGGGAACCTGGTCGTCAGCGCGCAGCTTTTGCAGCGGCGAGGACCCGAAACATGGTTTTCAAACCCGACGAGAAAAGAAGCAGTAGCCCGAGGAACGCGAGGAGCATGAGCGGACATTCCATCGCTCGGGACAAGTGTGCTTCGTCGCCTCGCCGCAGCGGGGCGCACGTCACCTGACTCTCCCAGAGCCGTTTATACTGAGAGAGTTTGGCCGATGGGCGGAGCTTGTTGGCCGCTAGAACCAGCGGATTTCGCGATAACACAATATGGCGTTACTTCTTTGTCTTGTTCATTCCTGTGAAATCGCGTAGAGTTCCTATGAGTCAGATCCACAATATGGCGGACGGAAGTAGTCATCCCCCGGTTGTCAGACTACGCTGCTGTGGTTGTCAGACTGCCAAAATCTCCTTAAGAAGGCCAAACTCTCTCAGTATAAACGGCTCTGGACTCTCCTATGCCTTCCGAAGACAACATAGATTTAATAAAGTCATTGGGTTTTACAGAGAGCGAAATAAAATTGGATTTCAAGACAGTAATGACTACCAAGCAAAGATTAAGTGAATGGTGGCAGAAAGCGAGAGAAAACTAGGTATTTTCTTGGTCACTAATGGCAAGGGGGTTTTATAGCCTCACCTTCTTTTCAGTGCGGAGTTTTCACGTTTAGCACTTTTGCTGACAACGGATTTCGACTGCGTGTCGTCTGCTTTCTTTCTTTAATCGGCTCAATACCATCTAGAGAGAGAGAGAGACGTGTTGAAAAGAAAGGAAACCTGGAACTTATAATACCACCTAGAATACAAGGCCTGCGCGTTTCTTTCTCTAAACGTCATCACTAGTGGATCCCTTCAAAGCGCCCCCTAGGTAGCCCGGATGAGCAACATTGTCTGCTACATCGTCTGTGACATCGTCCACTTCATCGCCTGTTTGAGTGGTCATGCTCAAATCGAGCTCACATTTATAGGCTGCCAAGACCAACCATCAGACCGGAAATCTTGATGGTGCCGCATGCACGTTGCAAACGAACTTTGGAAGGTCGCTATCAGGTCGCGCTCGGCTCGCGCTCAGCAGTCATGGCCGCACGTGGCCCATACTCTCGTCATGCTGCAGCCTGTTTGCCGCTTGAGGCAGGTCGGGGATCTGCTAACGAAACGTCATGCGCAGGCCTTGTCTACGAGCTGGTATTGGTCGGCTACACCTTCCGACACTGCTCCCTGCGCAATCTATCAATACGCGCGCCAAACGCGCTCCAGAATTCGACTCGGTCGTCTGCGTCGCCGTCCGCCATTGACCCCGGCAAGTTTTCTGACCCTAGTTTTTACAGAAAGGGAGCTACGCTTTGTAATTCTACAAGAAAACAGCGACCCATGAAATAAACCTTTGACGAAAAGTTTAGATTGCTTCGTGCAGGCGCCAGTTTTTACGGTCCATTCTAGATCGAGCCATGATTATTTCAGTCACCGCTCGGGACAAGTATAACTATAATATGTGAAGAATAAGTTATATCTAAATGGAAACCCTTGCAAGTTGTTATAAAAGTTGCGATCGTACGTAACATACAAATAAAGTCATTAGTCCTTAAAGAAAGCATAACAACGCCATCCGCCAACTAATACGTGGTTGTAGGAAAGTAAGATAATCGTGGGGGGGGGGGGGGGGGGGGGGGGGTTATAGGTAGGCATCAGCGAACGTGTCACCGTCGGTCATAAAATGGGCGCGGACACACGTTGACGTTTGAACAGTCAAATGTCCGACAGCTCCTTTTGCCTTAAGCCGGGGTCAAACTGCTGATACACTATACAAAAGACAGTCTGCAGACCTCAGTCACCGCAATATCCGTGGTTCGAATGTCGCGTGCCAAGTTTCTCCTTGAACTCGTTGCCATGCGGCATTCGAAGCACGGATCTCGCGGTAACTTGCCTTCGAATATGTTTGCAGACTGTGTTTTGTATGATGTAATAGCAGTGTGACCCGGACTTTAGCCAATGAGGCCAACAAAACGTGTGCCTGGCTTCGCAGGCGTCGTCGAATCCGCAGCCAGGCCAACCTGCTGGTGTTCAACCTGGCGCTGAGCGACCTGCTCATGGTCCTCGAGATCCCGCTGCTCGTCTACAACAGCCTCAAGCTCAGGCCGGCCCTGGGAGTCTGGGGTAAGGGGGCCGCATGCGATGCGCGTCTGCTTTCCCGCAAATCTTTCCAGACGCAGTCGCGTATACATCATACGTGATTTGCGCTATGACCGCGAACTCGCAACTTGAAAGCTCTCATTTTAAGCTCGGCCGTGATTTTTGTAAACGCTGCAAGCCTATTGTGCTGCCGATTATCTGTGCAAAACACGCGACGTCATGCGGTTGTGTTCAAACGTTCTCACAGAGGACTCCGCAGTATACGGAAGGACCGCGTATTCGTCTTTCTCCCGGATAACGTTTCACAATAGGGAGTATTCAGTGGCGGCCATAGCTGTGCGTCCAGTTGATGAGCACGTGTTGACAACAAGGTTGTACAGATCTTTGGCAATGTGCATTCCACACCACCAACATTGCCGCGGTCTTAGCAGCCTATTAATGTGAACTTGTCCCTAGCACGCGCTCTAAACATCGCCCTCAAATATAGTGTCCAATGAATACCCCGTATAGACCGATCTCACTAAGCGTTCCACACGTGCGTAACGCCGGCATAACTGTAGTTCGTGGGATGCAGGCGCCAGTTCACGAGACAGCTTGTGTCGCCTCGTTCTCTGCACGCGAAGACACTCAGCGGGATTGTCGTGTTTGCAGAAAGACCGTATACATATAGTTCCCACAATGCATGGCGGCAGCGGTGGTGTACGTAACGGGACGGGCTGTGAGATCCATCTATTGTAGAGCCTTTACAGAGCGTGCGCGTCATCTAGTATAGACGCTTTACACACGCGCCAAATTACAGCCGCCATTGCTGACCTTCTCTTGTCTTACCGAGATGCCGAGCAACTGAAACGGTAGTTGACGATCCTCTACAAAGGCCGATGCTTTAGAAAGGGACACAGTTGAATCTAATGTGGCAATAACCTGACCTGCTATACTAAAGATGAAATGAAATAAACAAAATAAGAGGAAACAAAAACTGAAGGTCACTTATGGCGGCGTCCATGCACAGCTGCTGCAAAGCGTCTATACCAGCCGCGTCAATAGACCCGTTTCGAAATGCCATTCAAGCAACATTGGTGCTTGAAAGGCATTTTGTAGAGGCAAAGGCTGCTTTGAGTTTCAATGTACTTTTGTGTGTTTTACTGTCAAAAATTGTGATTCGTTCTGAATTCACTCGTAACGCACTTCCAACCCGACGTTATCGACTTTCAAATGCATCGCCGCGCTTGGCGGTCGTTCACCGTCGGAGAGCGCCGGACCTATAGTTACTATTTGCGGTTTAGACGCGCGCCGCTTCAGCGACTGGCAGCTCTCGCAACCGTCGGCAACGTAAGCGGCCACGAGAGTCGCTGCGGTCATAGTGGCAATCGGGCGCGAGCTGTGATGCCGGGAACGGTATTTTTTTGCACGTTGGTGACACCGGTAATCGCCGCCTGCTGAGAACCACGGGTTGTCCGTTGATACTGATTTCGTGGTCGTGAGGAACTAATCCCTCTCTGTGTACTGATCTACGCAGAAAAAGAAAGGGAAGAGAAAAGGTCGCCGAACTTTCACGGACACGGATATTCCTGCAGCCCTTTTGGAACGTAGGGGGAAAGGTGCTATTGAAACAAAACGTTTAGCTTTGTTGTGTGAAAGCTTTTAAAGCGGGATCTTAGCCTATCAAAAAAATATATCAATATATAAAAAAACATGACGTTTTGTGTTTCTTTTTGTTACGGGGAAATTTAGCGAGTGCGGAAAAAACGTCGAACCTACCTCTGGTGCTCGTCATTTGTAGCTTGAGGAAGGCACATCGCACGTACATTATACGAACCTTTTCCGTCTACCCTCGCCTCCAGTCACGTGGATAACATAAAAGGTATAGACTACAAAAAATATATATTTCAACCGGAAAAAGGTAGAGAAACATAAGAGAGGCAAATAAAGCACGTGTGACAGATCGTAAGGTGTATAGGCTACGAGAAAAAATATTTTAACCTGGAAAAAGGTAGAAAAACATGAGAGGCAAATCAGGAGCGTTTGACAGACTTGGAGTTGGGGTGGTTAGGATTAAGGTTAAAACTATACTTGTGCCCGTTACTTGAAAAATGTAATAGATTACAATTACAAATTACCGAGCCTCAAATGTAATGAATGAGCATTACAAAATGTTTTCGCTAAAAGTAATGAATTGCTTTACTCGTTACGTTACAAATTACTTTCACGTTACCATTTATCAAAAATCGATGTTTTGAAAAACGTTCTGCAATGTTATTTTCCATTTTTCATACGCCCGCATTACGATAGTCCTCGTAAAGATAAAATAGTGTATTTAGGAGAAAAAATGTAAGTGCACCCCGTTCACTTGTAAGCTGACAGAGCAGCGAAAGTAATAATAATAATACGTTTAATTCGACATGCATATGTCTGGGAGGCTGCGGCCAAAGAAGACGCGAAGTCCTCTGACGTGGCCACCAGCCCCCATTACAGCACTCGGCACGTACCCCTAAAGATACCGAAAAAAATAAACATCAATTACCTAATTCACATCAAAATAAGTCCACGGATGAAAACATTCGAAGAGTTACAAAGTTGAGTAAAAAAGAACAAACACTGTTACTTCTTCTTCTTCTTCTTTTTGTGAGGTCCAGAGAAGGAAAGGGAAAGCCGGGAGAGATGTTGGCCTCCTGTACGGGGCGAGTCGCTACCCGGCTTGGGGAAGGGGGAGGAGCCGTAGGTGGCTAAAAGAGATAGTGTGGAAATTTGGAAACCAGTCCAATAATGTGATGGGGCTTTGGCACAAGTGTGGGTTTCAATTTAACAACCTTGCTGTTTGCGGTGTGTGGTATTAGGTCACAGACGGTCTGCCAAACCAGTCTCACTCAAGAAATCCAAGAGGTCTTTGTAAGCCCTCTGGACTAGCCGACGTGGGGCTTCTGGGATGAGGAGTTCCCGAGTGGTGGAGGAAGGAAGTCCATTTAAAGTGTAGCGCTGAAACAAGGTTTTACGCTCTTCTTCGTACTCTGTGCACACTAGTCGCACGTGTTTAATGTCCTCTAGGGCTCCACAGTGTAGACAATCAGGACTATTGACTCGTTGAAGTTTGTGCAGAGTTGATCTTGTGTTTGCGCAGTTTGCCCTCAGCCGATGTAACATTGACGCTTGTTCTCTTGACAGCTTGCGGGGGATTGCTGGAGGGGGCCGTCCTTCAGCCGTCTCTCGGTGTGGGTGGCGCTTTTGGTAGAAATTTCGTATAAATCGCCATGCTTCGTTGTACCGGCGAAGGGAAATGGTTGGGGTCTCAAGTCCATGGGCTTCAGTAGCGAGAGCATCCGCTTTCTCATTTCCCGCAATTCCAGTATGTGCAGGACACCACTGAAAAGCGAGTTGCCAACCCTTTCTTTCAGCTGACCTGGCAGATGCTACAATTGTTGCAGTCAATGGAGTGCCAGTCTCGGGGTTCCGGAGAAGTTGAAGAGCAGATTTCGAATCTGTGAGAATGACTGCTCTCCCTGGTGTTCCACTTCGCACTAGCAGCTCCAAAGCCCGCCAAATGGCCACCAGCTCCGCAGTAGTGGATGTTGTGGCGAAGTTCAGTCTGTCTGCAATGCGGACGTTGTGAGTTGGGATGAAGACTGCTGTCGTAGTAGTTCCTGTCGCCGGACTAGTGGAGCCGTCGGTGTATACTTGCAGCCATTCAATATACTCTGTGTAGAGTAGTTCCTGAGTCAAAAGGCGAGAAATTGTCCCAGAAACACTCGCCTTGCTATGCATGTAAGGGAGGGTTGCACTTATCGTCAGTGGTACTTCTAGATGAGGCTGCGGGGGTGGAGGGATATGTCCGGGTGGTCCTATAAGATCTTCGAACTGTCTCGCCAAGTAGCCAAAGCGGGAGTTCGGGCGATCAAGTACGTGTGAGAGTAGTGTACTCCCAGAGGACACACCATGAATTCGTGCAATGTGACGGCAGGCGCGCTCATCAGCCCGGAGGAAAACAGGCCATTCTTCAGCAGCAATGAGTGTGGCAACGTTTCCCGCGTATCGCGGCAGCCCAACGCACATCCTTAGTGCTACACGGTGAAATGTTTCAACGTCACGTTGTTGTGCTGGTCCGATGTTGAGTAGTGGCAGAGTATAATGTAGGCGGGAAAGGATTAAACCTTTATATAACTGAAGGAGGGCGTGCTGTGGTGTTCCCCAGGTATGGCCGCGGAGGCACCGCAGAACTCCGAGAAGGCTGCGGCACTTGGAGAGAACTTTGCGGACTTCCGGTCTCCAGGTTACCCGATCATCTAACAACAATCCAAGATATCTGTGTGTCCTCACCCTCTTGACTGGCATCCCAGCCATCTTGAGTTGCAGCGCTCGTTCGGGGGGGCGTCCTCTCGGACGGTAAAGCAGCGCTGCTGTTTTCTCATGGGAAAGTGTCAGTCCGAGTTTTTCGATGGCATTGCAGATTGTATCGAGTGCCTCTTAGAGTTGACAACGAATCTTCCTTGCCCTTCGAGTTGGGCCAGTGCACCAAAGAGCCACATCATCTGCATAGATGGATATCTGCACATGGAACGGTCCCTGCTGGCGAAGTGAGCTTGGAAGCGTTGCCATGGCCACATTGAAAAGTAAAGGACTAAGGACACTTCCCTGAGGAACGCCCTGAGTCACAGTACGTGGACTGCTAAGTGCTCCCGGGACCCTGACCCGAATCGTTCTACCAGAGAGAAATGCCTTAATATATTCGAGCATTTTCCCTTTTACTCCGAGCTGTCTGAGGCGCTGGAGGATAACATTATGCGAAAGTGTATCAAATGCTCGTTTTATGTCTAAAAACACACAGTGAAGCATGTTGCGGCGTGCTCTTGCCTCTTCGAGTGCAGATGCCAAGTCGCCCATTGCGTCTGCTGTACACCTCTTCGCACGAAATCCTGACAGCTGGTGTGGCATCGCATGTGATTGCTCTAGGTGCCATGTCAGGCGTCTCAAGACCAGGCGCTCAAGTAGTTTTCCCAGGCAGCTTGTCAGGGACACAGGTCTATAGGATGAGG